CTTTGAGGAAGAATATGAAAATCCTACTGATTGCCACTTTGACAATGCAAGGCAGTTGGGAGCCAAGCCATCAGCATCCGGGCTTTATGGCTTGCTAAACTCTCTTGCTTCCCCCGCCCCCCATTTACAAAGCAGAAACAAGGGAAAGATCCTGGTTTTAACAGGTGCTTTGGGTAGCATTAGAACCAATGCCACAATGTGATACCCACAGAAGTTTCCTGCCAGTGTATTCAGGCCAACCTACCATAAAGAAATAGACAAACACACACAGCCTTGGGAGAGCCCACGGGTGCCAGTAGTATTCTTTATGGGACATTTTCCCTCAAAGTGTAAGCCACCGAGGACAAGACATTGCTGGCTGGAGAGATATTTTAAAAAAAGCACCTCCACCTTCACGTGTAGAAAGGGTTGTCGCAACCTAGGCTGTCACTGCGGCTTCTGCCACCAGCTCCTCCCACCAATGCCCTGCCCTCTGAAGCACTCAGCTCCTGCTCTCAGGAACTTAAGTTTGTGGTGAGCGACAAGTTCCCACATCCTGTTGAGAAGGGGCCTTGCACTCACTCCAGCCTCAGAAGTTCAGCTGACTGGAACCCACGACAGTCCTTTTGCAATGGGATGGAGATGTAAGAATGGATTTGTGGCTGAGGTCAACCAAGAAATGAAGAAATAATTTTCCAGCTTCTCTGTGGATCAGTCACAGAGAAAATCAAGTCGATTCAGCCCATCAGTCAGTGTATTCAATGCATATTGCGGGAGAAAGTTCCAGGCCTGAAGGAGATGTTTGCGTGGGAGGAGACATGTTCCTAACAAGGGAAGGAAAGTAAAGCCAGGTCTTTGCTTCTACATCTCACCAAGTAGACAGTGTACACACGAAGTATGCAAGTTATCATGAGCTAAATGTTTGTGCAATGCTGTTGGAAAGAAATAAACTTCATTGTAAATCTGTTGCTCTATACTGAGGCTTACCATCTTTGTATTTGACTAGGGTTTTATAAGTATTATATTTTCATCTTCCACTACCTCTAACTTTATAACTTTATTGGGTAATTTCTGATAATAAGAAGTTTCAAGAATATTTATTTTAAGATTTGAAAAGATGCCTTCTTCCAAGTGTCCCAGGTAAACCAGACGAAACACCTCCAAGTAGAAGAGATGGCATTCGGTTTCGTGGATGTGTGTGTGAGTGTGCATACACATGTGTGCATATGCATGCATACATGTTGGGTGTGAGTGTCTGTGCACATGTGTTGGGAAGGGAGTAGGGATTGGTTATAAAAAATGTATCTGTCATTGTCTTGCTTCTACAAAGCAAACCACTATGCCTGAAAGCTATTTCTCTATGCTAGTTTGATCTTCTTGAATCCATTACATTTCAATGAGTTGCTTTCTACTTCAAGATAGAGAACTTCTGCAGGTTGAGGAAGGGTTTCTGTTTTCTCTGTGTTTCGTTATGCCTTCCAACCAGTCTTTGTCAGAGTGGCATCATCACCAGCATGAAAGCTGGGCCTTTCCTGTCCCTGCTCTCTCCGGCTTCCTGCTCCTTATGTGTAATCCGTTAAGCCGTGGAAAGAACTACGACTAGCTTCCCAGAGTTTTTTTTCACTATGCACGAGCCCCTCACAGCCTCAGGTTGTCTAAAACACCACCATACCTGTGGTCCTGATATTGGTGATCACACCAGGAGGAAGAAAGACTGGTGCTCAGTGAGAAGAATCAGGATTCAGAGCAAGTGAGTCAACACACCAACAAAAGAGGGAAGACATGCCACACAATCTAAAAATCATCAACAAACTTCTTAAAAAATTGCATAAATGGTTATTATTAATCTATATTTCCCTAAGGATTAAGCACATTATAGACCATCACAGGAAGGCATTTTTTTTTCTCTTGTGCATTTTGCCTAGGAAAGAGTAACAGCACCCACAGAGACGATTCATTCTCCTCTTGCTTTAATCCCAAGAATGATGAACACATCTTAACAAGGTCAAAATTGAGCTTCCAAGTTACTTTTGATTTTCATTAGTTGTCATTCAAAGATCTCTTATTTCTTTTGCACTTTAAAATATACACAAGCATTTGGGGTGTGGCTCAGTAGGGGAGTGCTTACCTGACACTCACACCTTCCTTTGTTCTGACTGTGGCATTCTTACTAAGCTAATCGTCTAAGGTTATGAACCCTTAGCTTCAATTTTAACATGACTAGCTAGATTTTTTTTGTCATTGATGAAAAAACACAACAATAATTAAACATTAATAGTCTTGCATTCTGGTTTCATTACAAATTGAATGTTTATGCATTGCTTTTACTTTAAAAGGGGGTCGGGGAGTCGGGGAGATGGTTCAGTAGGTAAAAATGCCTACCCCCAAGCCAAATGGCCTGAGTTCGGTGCCCAGGATGGTGTATGGTGTGAGGAGAGAATTAACTCCTGAAAACTGCCCTCTTGAGCAGTTCAGGTTGTTGATGTGCCAAACACACCAGGGAGCCTGGCTACGCTCACTGTTTCTTCAAGGGTCCCACAGAGCAACCCGTCACTCCTCCCTCCCCATCTTGCAGCATCCTCCGAAAACACTCAAGAGGACAGTGACTCAGACTCAAACACCATACTCTGTGTGTAATTGACAAGTGTGTTTGTTTGAAGATACATTGGTGCAGATAATTCAATTTTGGCTCTATCTCGAAAAGACGATGCTATATTATGAATGAATTAGAAACAATTATGATGGCAGAAAAAATCAGTGGATAAGTGTTGCATTCAATTCTTAATCCATTTATTTATATATATTTTTTTGTTTGTTCAGAGCTAAGGACCAAACTCATGGCCTTGTGTTTGCTAAGCAAGTACTCTACCACTGAGCTACGTACCTAACCACTTGTATTAACCCATTTAATCTTTGCCAAAACAAATGAAAACAGAGTGACAAGTGGAATTAGAGTTCCGATTTCAGAGATTAAAAAAGCAGATCAGAAAAGCCAATAACCTGCTAGATGCCATGCCACACAGCAAAGCCAAGGCTTGCGCCTCCGTCAAATAGCTTCAAGGCCCAGACCTCCTTTAGCTCAGACACTTGCAAGGTCTCCTGGATCCAGATTAGCAGCCGAGACTACAGTTTCCACTCTTCATCCACAACTTCCATATTTTTTGAGCTAAAAATAAGCGTGGTGTTTGACAATGGTCAGGGGTATTTCAAGGGTTTTCCCCGTGCTGTGTAGATGCGATGCCGCTAGAGCAGAGCCGGGCTCAGTTCCCTGGCAGTGCAGCGAGGAGGGAGAAGAGATGATCGGTAAGGTTTCTTCTTTATACAAAAACAGGAAGCCGTCTGATGTGCGCTGTACACCCTGCCTGCCCTGTGGACTCGTTTAATGTACCTTGGAGCAGCACCATGGCATTGTTTGCATGAGGAGATACGAAAGCTCATGGATATTCCTTGTCACCCGGCTCCCAAGCCTAGGTCCTTAATCGTTTTATTCTTCCACCTTGTTTTTAATAATCCCCAATGAAATGATACATAAAGACTATAAATTATACCTCTATCGAAATGTAGGGATCAAAAATAATGTTCTCAGTAATAAACTTCCTCGCAAGCAGAGAGCAAACTTTTGTAAGCTTGCATTGTAAATGCTTGTGTGTGCACACATGCATGTTTGCACCTGTGCGTGTGTGTATGTGCACACACTGTGCACGGAGGATTGAACCCAGAACCCTGCCCATGATGAGCACCTGCCCCATCAGTGAGCTATGCCTTCTGACTAGTATTTTATACTGCTTTCTCTTTCTTTGTGAAGCTTCAGTCAGAGCACTGAGCAAAGGGCTTCTCCCACTTTTTAACTTTTTTTTTTTTTTTGAGGCAGGACCTCATGGAGCCGAGTCTTGTCTCAGACTTGCTGTGTAGTCAAGGATGACTTGAAGCTTCATAAACTTCTGATCTTCTTGTCTCGGCCTCCTAAACGCTGGCACTGGAGAATGTACCCCCACACCTGTTTTATTGCTATTTCATGCTAAGCATCTGAGCCAGGGCTTCATGCCTGCTAGGCAGATACTCTCTCAACTGAGCCACATTCCCAGCTCAAGTTCCGTGGTTTTTTAAAGAAAGAGCAAACACACCGTTAATTGTCCCAGGTTAAACTGGACTATATTAACAAAGAAAGGGGAACGTCTGGCGTCTTTCCTGAGTAATTTCCTAATTCTCATGAGGGAGCAGGTGAGGCAGGACCGCAGGGGACTGATAAAAGTCATTATGGAAGAGACAAGACTGAGAGAAATATCTGGAAATGAGACCTCCCAGCCAGTTCCTGCTGCTGGTCTACTGTCCTCCCTATGGAATCCTACGCTCCCACCTCATGGCCTGTTAGTCTGCATACAGCCATACAGTAGCACTCTGCATTTATAGATGAGGAACCCTCATCCTGTACCTTTCAGAAGGGTTGGGATGCTCTGTAGCATCTCCCTGACAGCAGACAGACTTTAAATGCAACAGGAACAGGAACACTCTCGTCAGCCACAGTGATGCTAGCATTGCTTTGCTGGGTCAAAGCCTAGAGCCTAAATTCACAACATCTACTTTCATTTTTAAGTCCAGTTTCCACATGAGTCTCCACTGTAAAATGTGGGAGAATTCATTGGTTGGTCACTTCCATATGTTTTTCAAGTGAAGCAAAAGTATGGGGAAATATGGAGCTTGAGTAAGCCCAACAAGATAGGTAGGCAGGCAGTGAGGGGACAGAGAAACATTCTCAACACAAACGAGTGAGGCCTGTGTGACAAAGAGAAGTTTATGCACAGCCACAGCCCTCCCTTTTCAAAAAAAAAAAAAAAAAACCCTCATTACTTATTTTGCCATAGAGGAACTTAAATGTTACAATAGCTGGCCAACCAATCAGCGGCACCCCGACACTGCAGCGCTCTGGCCGCAAATCAGGAAGCCCTTGAAGGTATAGTATTTTAAATTGCAAGTGAGACTTCTGGTTCTCAACTGGCTTTTGTTGTTCCCTGTACTCGTAGGATGGAAAAACAGATGTGAAGTCCCTCATGGCGAAGTTCAACACAGGGACTAGCCCGACAGAGGAGGTCTCCGCCAACAGCAAGCCTTTCAAAGTTGCCGGCCAAAACGCGCCTTCGGGAATCCAAGCAAGAAAGAATTTATTTGACAACCAAGGAAATGCCAGTCCTCCCACAGGACCCAGCAACACGCCTAAGTTTGGGACCACAAAACCACCCTTGGCAGCGAAACCTACCTGTGAGGAAAAGTCTGACAAGGATCCCAAACCCCCATTTTTAAAACCTAGTGGAGGGAACCAAAGATTTGGAACACAGCCAAACTCAGCTTCTAGAGACCCCGAGATCAAAGCGGGGTTTCTGAAACCTGTAAGCCCCAAACCCACCAGCTTGACTAAAGAAGATCCTAAACCGGCGTTTTTACGACCTTCTGGGAATAAGCTTCACAATTTGAACCACGAGTCTGACTTAAGGACGCCAGGACCAAAGCCAGGGCCTACTCCCCCAGTACCCGAAAACGATGTAAAGCCAGGGTTCTCAAAGGTGGCCGGAGCTAAGAGCAAGTTCATGCCTGCGGCACAAGATGATGACCCCAAACCTCGATTTCCCAGACACACCTTTGGCCAGAAGCCATCTCTGAGTACAGAGGACTCTCAGGATGAGGAAAGCGCCTCTAAAAATGCAGCGGTCCAGAAAGGATCCCCAGTGCCACTAGGGGCCAAGGGCAAGGGTGGCCCTTTCAAACCAGCCAGGGAAGACACAGAGGAAAAGGACAGCGGAACGACAAGTTCGCCGTTTCCTGGGGTGGTTCTGAAACCTGCCGCAAATAGAGGGAGCCCAGGGCCCTCCAGAAACTCAGAAGAGAAAAAAGAAGATAGGAAAACAGATGTTACAAAGAACATCTTTCTGAATAAAATCAATCAGGAAGAACCGGCCCGATTCCCTAAGGCCCCTTCCAAGCTGACGGCAGGGACACCATGGGGTCAAAGTCAGGAGAAGGAAAAAGGAGACAAGAATTCAGCAAGCCCCAAGCAGAAACCCCTGCCTCCTCTGTCCGTCTTGGGCCCGCCTCCATCCAAGCCCAGCAGACCACCCAATGTTGACCTGAGCAGATTCCGCAAAGCTGACGCTGCAAACAGTGAGTGTTTCTTATTGCTAGTAACTGTGGTTTGCGCACAGTGGAGAGCATTGCAGCTTCCAGGAGAAGCTTTAGAGCAAGGAATGTTTGCATAACTGATGCTCGTGCGAGTGTAGGGTCAATTTTCCTGTGGCGGTTTCTTCACTTTGTGTAGGAAGTCTGAGAAGGTCGAAAATCCAAGTTCTTTTTGAGTACGATGAGAAGGTCCCGGGGGGGGGGGGGGGGGGGGGAACTGACTTTTTAGAGGGGAACAGTGGGAAAGAAATACACCTATTTGACTAATAAGCGGTTCTGCTTAAGGATAACCATTGTGTTTATTCCCTTGGGTTTTATTTCTGTTGACTGAGAGAGATGTGATGCCCATCCACAGTCAAAGAGAGAAGTGGGCAGACCTCTCAGTCAGCATTCTAGAAGGGCTCAAATGTCATGACCAGCGGATGTCTGCGTTGTCAGGAGGTATTTTCAAATGTCACAATGGACAATGCTAAGGACATTTTGGAAGTAAAGCCACTTCCTACAACACAATAGCAATCTCTCATCCAGGTCAAAAGGTCAATGCTGCCAATGCTATTGATCATATTGCCGAAGCCCAAGATTTAAGCAGGAGAGTTTTTAGGAGATAGTATTTCATGGTTTTTTTTTATTTTAGCTGTTTTTTTAATTTCCCAATAACATCTGTACTGTTGCAGTTTATGAAGGCATACACAGCTAGTAAATGAAGGCAAACAAAGTGGTTTTTTGTCCTTCTAGAAGACTGCTTCGGGTTTCTTCCCAAGATGTCACTGCAGTATTATGGTGTATGGGTGGAATTAGACACTGAATGTCTCTGTAAACACTTGTCACCCTGTGTTGTGATGAGGAAGGCTCACTCATGCCTGTGGTGATTAATATTCTAGCAAGTGGCACACAACTGCTGTCCCTTGTAAGGAGGGGGGAAAAAAAAGATAGTTGCAAGTGACCATACCACTCTAAGTCATATGTTTTTCCAAATAATATTATCATCATCTAAATCTATGTATGGTGGTATAGGCCTGTGACTCAGGAATTAGCAGGTGGAGGCAGGCAGATCAGAAGTTCAAAGTCCTGGGACTGACTACTTTAGAGAGTTTGAAGCCAGTCTGAGCTACGTGAGATTCTACCTTAAAAAGAAAGATCTTGTCCGATACAAGCAGGTCTAAGCATAACCATTGTCTCTGGTAGACCTTCGCACAGGCTCCCCCTGTAGCTGAGAGAGAATGGAAGGTGAAGTCCAGGTGGCACAAGGCTGTCATCACCTCCAGATTGTGCCGCCTGCTCCTGACTGGGGCCAAGAGAAAACAGCCGATTCTACCAGGGGTGGAGAAAGAGCACAGAGCCAGGTTCCCATGACAATTACCCCAAGACTGATATCGTCAAGTGTGCCCCCTTCTTGCTTCACCAAGTTCACCCAATTTGATCACCAAGGTTTACTGAGTTTGCAGCTTTTTCTCCAGCTCTGAAGTGCCCGTGATAAGCATGCTTAGCTCAGTATGAAGCCTCACACTAAAGGACTTTGGGTCCTTGGTGCCTGGGACAATTCAGAACATTAGCCATTCACTTGAACTAAGGTGGGAAAGAAAAGACATTGCTTGCTTAGAAAAAGAACAGGTCTACCAGGTGTTTATCAATGACTCCTTTTTTTCAATCTACTAAGTTATGAGGCTGCTGATGGGGATAAAATGCTTTGCAGTGAACATAGAGATGGACTCTAAGCAGCCCATGTCTTATAGTTGCTTAAAGTAGTTACAGCGATTTCCAAATTACCGAAATGGTCTGTGTCATCCCCTTGGCCTTTAACCTTTAGGACTCTTTCCGACTTCTGCTGCCTTGCTCCTTTTCTATTTTCACATCGAGATAAATATTTGCCATTTGTAGAGGACATTCACATCACATTACACAATCCTACTCTATGTGTTCGGTGCAAGCAATGAAATGGAATTCTATCCCAGCACAGTTAGGGAATTTGCCCAAGTTGTAGCTTACCTACGCAGGGCCACAGCTGCTTCTCACGTCTCTGAGTCTATAGACTGTGCCCATCTCTGTCCCAGTACCCATGCTGGCTGCCTTCCACGAAACGTAAGACCTCTTGAAATGATGAATCAGGTACAAATGGTACCCAAAGACTCCGCAACCCTGTCTCTTGTTCTGTCTTTTGGTTAAAACGTGTCTTTTTAAAAAATTACTGTCAGTAAAACCGTGAGCTCCCTTAAAGCAGAAATCAGTTTGTTTAGCATTCTCCTCTCATTTGTGGAACAGAAAAGGCATGAATTTTCATCACTCTTTTAGGTGTGTACTCCCAGAGAAGGATATTAATATGATGCTAGCTGCCCCCAGCTTTTTCCAGTATCAAATTATAATGCTCTCCATAGTGTACTAATAACTTCCGCATATTGTCTGTACATTCAGTTAAATGGAGCTTTGACACAAAATGAATTCTACACAAAGTGTCCCCCCACTAAGAGATCTTCTCAGTGTCTTGTCTGTAAACTGCAAACATGCATCTATCACACGGTTTTCAGAATGGGGAATAACAGTAACATGTAATAGCTGAAAACACTTTTGGTTCCTCCACCCCCGCCGACACTAGAACCATTTACAACTACAAAACCCTAAACACTTTCTTAAGTTGAAGTGTCAAGATGCTTTCTTTCTTTTGACTCTCTTAAAAGAGAACTTCTTTCCAGGTGTTCCGGCACGATTCATCATAACGTCTGGGTTCGTAAGCACCCCGCCAGGCCCAGCTGCTGGGTGGTCTGTAGGAGGTAGCAAAAAACCTGCTAGGAAACATTCTGTTCAGCCTTCTTTCTTGTCTTGTTCTTAACACTAGAAAGAAACACTAACTGTTCTGTGTGCTAACTGTGGAAATAATCAGTTGAGACCTTAACAGTTACAGGAATGAATCCGGGGCCGGCATTACCCAAAGGCTGTCAGAATGCTGTGCCCCCTCCTCATTTGTATGTGTGCTCCAACTAATCCAGCTGCCAGGAACTTGACATCAAGAAGAGTTGGGGTGGGGAATAAGGAGACGAAAACTCAGGGGGTACAAATACCCATTGCTCTCATGGAGGACCTGGGTTTGGTCCCCAGCACCCATTTGGCAGCTCACACCATCTGCCATTTCAGTTCCAGGGATCCTATTCGCTTTGCTCAGCAGAGCAAAATGAGCATCAGGCACACATGTGGTGGACAGACATATATGAAGGCAAACCACTCACAAAATGAAATGAATAAACCTAAAAGCAATCTGGGAAAGAACTTGGGCTGTGGTTGGAACGGAGTTCAGCTGGAGAGCCCCCACCCATAGTGGCTTAAGGGGGAAACACGAAGGGCTATGTCAGCAGCTAGTGACCTATTTTTGGAGAAGGTGAGAATTTCCTCCACAGATCCCAGGGCTATCACCACCCCCTTCTGGTGCATCATTATCCCTTTACATGTTCTTTTGTAATATGACCTTACTGTATTTTTATAAATGGAAAAATGATTCATCTCAGTGCCTAGCAGGATTTCCCACAACATTGCTGCAGGCCATTATAAAGACAGGGATCCAAGGCTCAAATGCATCTTAAAGACTTGAGGGTCAATAGTCTTCCAGAGAGCCAAGTTTCTTCACAGTTAGCTATGCCACTGTACACTTGGAAGTTGGAATGAGGTTTACCTAGAGTAAATCCAAGGATGTCTCAGCGGACTATCCCTGGGCACTAGCCCGGGATGTGTGTGCAGTGTGTGCACGAATGAGAACTCACTCAGCTGTGTAGGTCAGCCTGAGGAGGCAATGAGGCCTTCCACAAATTGAGCTAGGCTCTTATTCTCCAGATGTTTACATCCTTTGAGACTGGAGTCCAGGCTTAACGTCAGTTCTCTCACCCTTCTTGTCTCTGGGAAATCTGTCTTTCAGAAGATGCCTGGTCCTTTCTTCTATCCTAGGTTGCAACCCTTGAGGAAGTATCTACTGTTAACCAGTCAGTCAGCTCACCTGGGTATAACTCCTTAATATAAATGCTTCAAAAAGGCTCCCTTCAATGCACAGTCCTTGGTCAGACCTGTGCTACCCTATGCTTGGTCTTCCCTCACTGAGTTCTAGACATCTCTCCTCTGATCCTCAGTGTAAACCCTGTTCTCTTGAGCAAACTATTCCATGGATGTTTATATCCCAACAACATTACTGGGCTTTGTAAAATCCAAACTCTCTACATTACAGCAAGCATTTACAGCCTCTGTTTTCAATTTCTGCCAGCAAATTTTTCTCTGGGAAAGTCTGAGGCTATCCTGAGTTTACCCCTTTGAGACTTACTTGTTTTCTGTCAGAATTATCAGAGAAATCTCTGTCCTGGAAGTACGGATATTCAGCTAGGCCATGTCTGTTCATCATTCGATCATCAATTATTTCCTAGAGATAGTGGCCCTCTGTTATTCTTGGGTTCTTCCAGAGTTCTATATTTCCATACTCACAGGGATCTCACCATCGTTTATGATTTGGCAGATGCATGATGGGAAAATCTAGAAGCTCTAGTCCAGGGTGATAAACCTATTCTCCCCTCAAACTATGCTTTGAGGTCTAAGAATTGCTTTAAATACTGTTCTCCTTAGTGTTGGAAAACTGTTTGGGATTTGAGGGCAGCCCTTGCTGAAGACACAGATCCTGCTCTTCTCTGAGCTCTTGCTGAGTGTTCTGTCCCAGGCATTATACAGTCAGCATTAACTGTCAATTCTTTTTTGGTATTTAGGGCGTCTCTGTTGAGAATTTCTCTTGACCTTACCCAGGCTATTTGCTTACCTTTTGAAGTGAAATGTTCTTGTGAGAATTCACAAGAGTCACTCTCTTCCACCGATAAGATGCTTCTGAACCCGGAGAACAAATCAGGAGCTTTGCTTAGCCTGAGAACTCTCTCTTTATTTCCTTACTCAACAACTTCTTAAAGTTTTGTATGAGGTTATTTTTTTCTTCCTTCCAAGGTGGCTAACCAGTAAGTAGATGTCTTTCT